TGTTGTTGTCCTTGTTGTTATTATTGTTGTCGTCGTCGTTGTTGTTGTTGTTGTTGTCGTCGTTGTTGTTGTTGCTGCTAGCGGTGGGAAGAGTAGCAGTAGCAGTCGTAGGCTTTAAGAACCCAGTTTACAAGGAAATGCTTGTCGTAGAAGAATAACCTAACCCCCGCTTCAACGGACAATGTACAGGAAATGCCGAAGATATTCCTCGAATGAGACGGCAGCCCCAAGTTTGAGGACTAACTCCTTCCATTCTTGGAGTGGGGCGAACATCTTCCCAGAACCCTAGACCCCTTAAGTCCCAATCCCCAATCCTATAAATAGTAGCCTTTCCAATATACTAACCTTTCAAGGAACCCTGATAGTAACCCTTGTGGAGATTCGTACCCTAAACCCTAAACGCTACTACAGTAACCCTTGGAGGAACCATCAACCGTCCTTCTTCATGCTGTGAGACTTGGATGTTGCCCGTGGGCGACCGAGCAAAGGCACGTCCTCTTTCGGGCCGGGGTCTGGGGCTCGGGTTCAAGTTTTGGCTCTTGTGTTCCCTGGAGATAGGGTTTAGGGTTTAGGGTTTATAAGGTTTATAGGGCTCATAGGGTTTAGGGTTTAGATTTTATAGACACGTCACCGCTGTACACGGCGGGGTGTCTAGAATTGGTTTGCGCGCAAAAACGACCAAAAGAAAACACGCCCTAGCTTCCCTCAGGGGGTGTTCGCGTGTATCTTTTTAGACCGAGCGTTTCCGTGCTTAAACATGTTCAAACCCAAACATGTGCAAAGATGTGTGAGACATGTTTAAGAAGGCCATGTTTAAACGTTGTTTAAGTGGGTAAAGCTTTAAGCGTAGCATGTAGGACCAATGGCGGCGATGCTTTCGTTTCTGAAGGACGTCTTCATGGTTGGGCCCTGGTTGCTTTGTTCTCACAGCGCTCTTTTCTCAGAAGGGAGTGGACCATGGACGTCATCATGGTTGGGCCGCGGATGCTCTGTGCCCACAGCGCATTCCACCATGGACGTCATCATGGCTGGGCCGGATGCTCAGGGTTTCGCAACACCGTACAACTGTTACATTACCCTCCGGCTCTGTTAAAGACTGTCCGTGCCTTCAGCATCCTTCAACCAACCCACAATGAAATAGTCCGGGCTGACAGAGCAGTTCTGTAACTAACACCTTGGGGCAACGGAATTGGCTCCCGGTACACGGTGCACTGTGTAAGTTGCTGGCATTTGTTTTGGCCCCAGGGCCCAGGTGCAGGGCCCAATGTTCTGGCAATCGGTTCGAGACAGAAGTTGCCACGTTTTGGGATCCGGTACGGTGCATGAATTTCTGACAGTTTTTATTTGTGCGTACCTCACAGTAAAGCTGGTTGATAATGTCACCTTGTGTTGATCTTGTCCTCGCCTGTGTGTTTCCCTTTGACTGCACTTGTACGGTCTTGTGCGTGAACCTGTCGCATCGAACTTGTCAACTTCTCCACGTTGAACCATTCGAGACAATTTGTGGCATGTGTAACTGTGTCTGAACATGTTTTTTCTGGTCTCAAAGTTGCTGATCAAAAGGTTTTATTCCTGCGATGCGCGTGTATTCATGTGTGATATCTACATATATATATATATATATATATGTATATATGTATGTATATATTTATGTTTATATGTCTATTTGTGCTCGTGTTTAAAAAAACGTGCTTAACTCAGACGACCATGTCTCATGTCTAACAACTCGAAAATGCATGTTTAAAAAACCTAAGGATATGTCTAAACACGTTCACAAACCGAGTTCGTGTTGAAAACCCGTCGTGTTTACTTTCAACAATACTGCAAAATACAGTACGCACGGCTCACCGTCTTTAGACGCGAAGAAAGTTTACGCTGTGGTTATTTCCACAGCGCCGCACACTGAATCTTAAACGCGCACCCGCGCCCACTGATCTCTAGGGCTTAGGAGGGTTCAGGCTTCTAGGGCGTGTGGAGTCTAGGCTTAGGAGGATTTGGTGGGGGGGTTTTAGGGTTTAGGGCTTTGAGATTTAAGAGGGTTAAGGGCCTAGGATTTGGAACAGATGAAATTTAATGTAAAGAGCCTCCAAAGTAGGGGTTTAGGGCTCAGGGTGTCGGACGGGGTCTTCCTTCAGACTAGAACCCTCAGAAAGCCGTCCTGGCTCCAGCAATGAAGCTTGTACAAAGCTTCCTGCTGCTTGTACAGCTCGCGCATGAGGATTTCATGGTTCTGTCGGATCATCTCCTTCAGGAATGCTTAGGGCTTTGGGTTACCCTAAACCCTAAACCCTAAAAGGGCTTATGAAAAACGTCAGCAGATTCGGCTTAAGTCCATGATCTCGCCAACGTTATGACAGCGTCAGGGGCTTATCAGGGCGAAGCTGATATTAGGGTTTAGGGTTTAGGGTTTAGGGTTATAGGAACCTGGGTAAGAAACCCTGGGTCTTTATCAGGCTCTCCAGATGAATCCTATTTTGGTGTTATAGGACCAGGGTTTATAAATCAGGTTCCGACAGTACCCTGAACCCTAAACCCTAAACCCCTACACCCTAAATCCCTTAATCCCTAAACCCTAAATCCCGAAGCCCTGAACCCTAAACCCTAATTAATGGGTGCAGTGTGCGTAGCCTATGGCACATGCGTTGCTTTTATCGTCTCCTTGAGGTCATCTCTGTCCCAAGAATCGGGACCTCAGTTGGCCGGTATCCTCTGGGTTTAGGGTTTAGGGCCCCTAAAAACCCTAAACCCTAAACCCAAGTTTAGGGTTTAGGGTTATCCTTTGACGTATAACATCCGAAAAAAGCTCCAAGCTTACCCACTCTGCTAAGAGGCTGTCTGCGCTGGCCAGGACTTGCTCTGATGTGCAGCACGCCATGGGACGGCTCTGGGCTGAATTCCGCTGGCTGGAACTCTGTAAAATCAGATCGTCTCTCTCCCAAGATTCGTGGCCTCGGTTGCCGAGCTCTCTCAACCCCCGACAGGGCCCCCAAACCCTAAACTGGCCCTACCAGGACCCTCAATTGGCCCTTTAATGGAGCCCTTATGGCCCTTAATAGTGGGTATTTGGGGTATATTAGAGGCTAGTTGGGGGGGTTTAGGTAAAACCTAAACCCTACACAAGTAGTGTTTACCTTGTCGGCGGACATCTAGTTTTTGCATGTCGGCGCCCTTTTCGACATGTCGGCGCGTGGCGTTACTAAGCCCTATATAGGGTAGAGTTTTGATCATGTATAAGCCTCCAAATATCCGTAAACCCCTAACCCTGAACCCTCAACCCTAAAACCCTCAAAGCCTTAAGCCCCAAACCCTTAAACCTTCAAGCCTAAACGCCAAACCCTAAAAGCCCTAATTGGGTTCTTGGTTTACCTCAAGCCCCAGACCCTAAACCTTGATTCAAGCATAAACCCTTAGCCCTAAAAGCCCTAATTGGGGTCTTAGTCTACTCCAAATCCTAAAGCTTCAAGCCTAAACCCTAAACCTAAAAGCCCTAAGTGGGTTCTTGGTGTACCTGGTTTACCTTAAGCCCCAAGCCCCTACTCAAAACCCTAAACCCTAAACCCAAAGCTACCAAGTCAAAACCCTAAACCCTAAACCCTAAACCCAAAGCTACCAAGTCAAAACCCTAAACCCTAAACCCTAAACCCTAAACCCTAAACCCAAAGCTAGCAAGTCAAAACCCTAAACCCTAAACCCTAAACCCGAAGCTGGCAAGTCAAAACCCTAAACCCTAAACCCTAAACAAACCCTAAGCTACCAAGGGGCAGTCCGTGCTATCCAGGATTTGCTCTGAGGCGCAGCAGGCCATGGCACGCCCCAAGGCTGGGTTTGCACTGCCGAGAGCTCCGTGAAACATCTGTGCATTTAGATGTGTGTACGTATATATATATATATATACAAAAAACACACATATCTCCGTATGTATATATATATATATGATTATATATGCACAATTATAAAATTTAGGGTTTAGGGTTTATATAACGCAGATTGGCAGATAGAGCAATACATGACATAGACAGATAGACAGGCAGGAAGGCGGAGATATAGATGGATCGACAGATAGGGCAGGGTTTCCAAGGCTCGTCGTCGTCTGCATTCCATGAAGCTCCCTAAACCCTAAACCCTAAACCCTGTGTAAGCCAGAACGGATCCTCTGGCGGCAGACATCCATGATTGCACATTCCTGCCACACAACTTGGCTGACTTCTGAACCTAAACCCTAAAAGTTAAAGTTTTAGCTCCCTAATTATGGTTCATACAGAAACCCGAAAAGTTAAAGTCCTAAGAGCCAAGCAAAAGAACGCCAGGACAAACACAAGTTAGCATGGTGCCATCACAGCAGGTATTGACACAGCATGACTACTTGACACCCTGTCAAGGCCTATGTATGGTCAAGCATTGCAGTCTTCGCTGAGCTCAGCCTAACGGGCCTAACTCTAAACCCCAATTCCCCAAGCAGATTGTTTGGGATGTATCTAAACCCCCCAACTACCCTCTAGTATACCCCAAATGCCCACTATTAAGGACCATAAGGGCTCCATCAAAGGGCCATTGGGAGGGTCCTGGTAGGGTGCCCGCGAGCAATCGAAACCCGAATGCGGAAAATGACTCTAGGGCCTTCTCTACGGACCAAAGACACCCTGAAACCTTAAACCCTAAGGGTCCAAGTACCCAAATAGTAGGGTTTCAAGGTCCCCAAACCCCTCAGAGTATGGATTTTGGGACCTAAAACCTGACTATTTGGGTACTCGGACCCTCTGGGTAAACACTCAACCCTAAACCCTAAACATCCCTGAAACCTTAAACACTCAACCCAGTAACTCATTACCGTACGTAGGTCGCCGGGCTTCGGGGAACCGCTTCAATGGTCTGGGTCTCTACCTATGGTCTCCGTTACAGTAAACCCAGGGTTTAGGGTTTAGGGTTTAGGGTTTAGGGACAGTAAACCCAGAGACTCCAAGATCCCTTAATTTAAGGAATATACCTTAAATCATATTAGGGGTCCTACTACAATTTAAGGTATAATCCTTAATTAAGGGATATTCAAGTCTCTGGGAGCTCAGTAATTAGTTGACCAAAAACAGGAACTAGATGGGAGATTGTAGGCAATATAGAAGCCTGAATAATTAGAATAAGATTTTGGGCCCATTTTACTTTGCTTAAACTAAGGAACCTCCCAAAATAGTGGTAATCATTTAGGCCCCTATATTAGTGTCCTCAAGCCCAAAGCCACTGTGGGAGCTGGGGACGTTAAAGCTCTGCTGACTTATTTCGTGTGAGGCAGGGCCGTGGTTGCGAGCTTGAGAGTAGGGCTTAGGGTTTGGGGTCTAGGTTTTAGGGCGTTTAGGGTTTAGGGTTTAGGGTTTAGGGTTTAGGGTTTAGGGTTTAAGGTTTAGGGTTTGGGGCGTTTAGGATTTAGGGTGTAGGGTTTCCGGTGCTGCGTCTGTCGGGTTGAGCACTTTGGGGTTGCAATTTCCTGCCAAAGGGCCCTGAGTGTTAGGGTTTGGGGTACAGACAGTTTAAACGGGGCCTAGGCTTCAGGGTTTAAGGTTCGAAATCCAACTCCAACGGCTCAATGTTTGCAAAGTTTGTAAGCCTCTTTAGGCTATGACAGAATTAAGGCTTCGTCAAGAGCAACCCTTTCTTTTCTAAATTTGGGGTTTGAGTGACAGTTAAGCAACCCTAAACCCTAAACCCTAAAACCCTAAAATTCTAAACCCTAAACCCTAAACCCCAAAACCCTAAACCCCTAAATCCGAAACCCCAAACCTAAACCCTAAATTTGGCGCATGAAGGAACCCCCGAATGCAAGGAACCACGAAAGGAAGCCTGTTTATGCGCTGTCTAGACCCCACCACACACGTCCATGTAATCCCAAATCACGGACCCAAACCCCCAAACCCTAGGGTTTAGGGTATATCGGGTTTAGGGTTTAGGGTCCCTAAGCCCTAAACCCCAGACCCCTAAACCCTGAACCGTGAATCCCTCAGCTCAAGGCAAACCCTTGCCCATGCGAACTTTTTGCAGAGGCGGCAACTCACTGATGGCGAATGAGCCAAGGTACCCATCCCACGGATCGACGTCAGGTGTTGAGTTAGCCTTAACCCCAAATAACCTACTTTTTTAGGGTTCCTTATCATGATTTCTTTATATATGTCCTTAAAAAGGTAGGTTGTTTGGGGTTAAGTTGGGGATTTTGGGACGATGACGTCATCATGGTGTTTAGGGCGTTGGGTGCAGCGTCGTTGGCTCGAGCTTTGGAGTTTAGGGTCGCTTAGGGTATATCGGGGTTGGGTCTCGGGTTTAGGGTTTAGGGTTTAGGGTTTAGGGTTTAGGGCAGCATGACTTGTCCCTTCATTGCCCGTGACTACTCTTTGGGTTTAGCAAAGTAGAACGAAGCCCTGACGCCTCACCCTTCGAGCCCCTTTTGGGGTCGCGGGTTCGGAACTCGAAAAACGATGGCTCCAAAGGTCAACTTGAGCTTTCCAAAGAGCTCCATGTACCCCTTAACTTATGTGGGAGTTGCTGAAAATAGGGGACCCTAATATAGTACCCCAAATAATGGGATCCTTATTATAAGGACCCTAAAATAAAGTACCCCAATTTCGGAAACTCCCGTTTGAGACTAAGGTTTAGGGTTGGTATAGTGCTTCTGGCTATGATTCAGCGGCTATTTCTGAACTCTGAGGTCCTACAGCCAAAAACATCTCAAAACCGGAAACCCTGTAACATCCTACCCTAGACCCTAAACTCCGAACCCTGTAACATGCTACCGTTGCAACTATGACTCAAGGCATCTCCCAGCATCTCCCAGCGTTACGGGGCACATTGAGGTCTCCGATTTTGTGAGAAAGATTCCCTACATGTGACGCCAGTGGATAGGGTTTGGGGTTGACGCCAGCTTTGCGCCAAGGACTTGGAGGGCTTACTTTATAACAGAAGGGTCGATCGTTTAGGGGTTTAGGGGGTTAGGGTTTAGGGTTTAGGGGCCTACGTTTCTGCATGGGGAGCATATGGAGTTAATGTTTTTTTCGAGAGGGGCTCGTTGTGCTTACTTGGTCAAGTTAAAACTTCCTGTTCACGGATCATCTCTCGAATTGTTTGATTTTTGCTTCCATAAAGGTTTTTATGTTTAGGGTCCGAGAAGGTTGGGGGCGCTTCTGTTTTGGAATGGAAGCACTTTGCTTTTTCTGTTGATGGCCTCTTGGTGTCTGCCGAGGTGACGGTACATGCTGGTTGACGAGTTTGAGCATCAAGATGGATGAGGGCTAAGGAGCTCTGCAGGGTTTAGGGTTTGGGCTTAGGATTTGTTGCTCTTGTAGGGCCGTGAGTTGCTGAACTCCCCAAACCCTAAGCCTGCGGGTTTAACATAGGGTTCTGAATAATTCGAACGGGGTTTTGGGGTTATGTTGTGATATAGATATGAAGGGACTTCTTTAACCCTGCACACTAAACTTCTAAACCGGAACTCTGTTCTTTCTACTACTGGGCTTCGTATTGAGGGTGTGTAGGGCTTGGGGTTCGTAGTTTGATGTTCAAGGCTCAGCGTTCTAGGGGCAATAGTTTAGGGCATGTAGAGTGTAGGGCTTTGGGGTTTGGGGTTCAGGGAGGCTTCGGGCGAGAAAGCTGGCACCATACCCCACACTTCAAGCCGAATGTCCCTCCAGCTTTTGGGCTTCTACGAGCTTCTACCATACACCCAAACCGAGACTTCGAGTACTCGATGTACCCACAATATCTGATGAACCTACAGAAGAAGCATATTTCTCGTCTGATTTTGCAGACATGCTACTTTGCGCATATATATATATATATGTATATACTCTAGGAGCTACTTCCTGAGCCCTGATCCCAATCCGTACGCCTCTCTTAATGCCTAAACCCCAAACCCCAATCCCTAATCCCTAAACCCCGAACTCTCTTCCCCAAACCCCAAACCCTAAACCCATAAACAACCCCTAAACCCCAAACCCCTAAACCCCAATCCCTCATCCCTAAGCCTCACTACTTCGACTTCATACACCCGACGGTCATGCTCGCGGCTGGCTGCCCGGAGACGGCAAGCAGGATGGCCTGTGAGGGAGCAAGATGTTCATGACGACTAGACAGGGCTGTAATGTTTAGGGCTTTGGGTTTAGGGTTTAGCGCTGTATTTGCAGGGCGTTTAACGGCTAAACCCCTAAACCCGAAACCGCTATAAACAGTATAAACACTAAACCCCTAAAGCCCGAAACCCTGTTGTCAGGCATTTACGGGATGTTGTACTGGCTGGGGCCGCATGCTTCCAGTTACTATAGGAGGCCCAGGATGCGAACAAGGGTTACGTTGGAATTTACAGCATTTTCCCAGAGGCTTCGTATGGACTACCCTTACGGAATTCGGTCCCAAAAGACCATCCCTCTTATGGCTTTAAGGGCCTAATTCCCCTAAACCCTAAACCCTAACCCTAAACCCTAAACCCTAAACCGCAATAGTAGTATCTGTGGACCCTCTGGGTTCATGGTAGCTGAAAGCCTTGGAGTTGGTGGCCTGGCAAGTGGCACAGACCAGTGCACTGTATTGGGTTTAGGGTTTAGGGTTTAGGGTTTAGGGTCTAGGGTTTAGGGTTTAGGTTCCGTGACTCAGTCTTACATCAGCTGTGTTCAGGGTTCGGGACCCTGATCTAGACCCTCAACGTAAGATCCTGAGTATAAGAAGTCCTCAGCAAAGCAGCCCTCACTTGAAGACCGCAATATAGCGGCCTTAATAACTACAATCGGATTTTGAATACACCTAACAAATATTGGTAATTATCAAGGCCTCAAATAGTATATGAACCTGCTTCTGAGATTTCGGAGTGTCCTGAATCGTAAGCCCTCTGCCTCAAGGATTCAAAGAGCGGCGTCCTACCCTAAGAATCACGAATGCCAGCAAAGAGTGGAAACACTCTGCATCCCTGAAATCCACGCTAGACCTTTTGGCAAGGAGGGCTGAGCGAACGATTCGCGACCCCCCTTGAACCATGTTAATGTAGGGGCCTTAATAGTTAGAATGGGATGCTGGGGTATGTTGTACTGCAATTATTATGAGGAACCCCCAAAATAGTATAGGCAATCTTTTACGGCCCTATATTAAACCCCAAACCTGAAATTGAATCGGCCTGGCAGTCCCTTCGCATCTTCCCAGTCTCATGGAGAAGGTGCATGATGTCGGCAGATGTCGCGCTTCCCTTAACTTTCGCAACGCCCTCGCAGAATTCCTGGACGGAGAGGGTGCCGTCACCGTCGTCCAGAACCCGAAATAGCATTCGGGCATCACGAACATCCAGTCCCAGAATGCTCAAGTAGTGCCGCATTTCCTTGGTGTCCGACGAATTGTAATGAGTAGCATCCCGCTTGACCATAATCTTCATCCTGACCTCTACTTACGATGTTCGCAGGGTCTTGTTCGCAAAAGCACTTTCCCTCAGGGTGCAAATATCTAACAATCAAATACTGTCACAAATCCTAACCTAAACCCTAAACCTTAAACCCTAAACCCTAAACTCGAAAACCCTAAATAAACTACTTTTCTAGGGCTCATGGTTGTGACTTCCTTACGTAAGTCCATACCAAAAGCCCGTTTGGCTGAAGCCTGAAAGGAATTCTAAGTCAGAGCCCAGCATCTTTGTGTCGCAACATCGCTTCGAACTCCTGCGGGTTCAGGCTCATAGGGCTGATAAACTTACAGGCTTCAAGGGTTTAGGGTTTAGGGTTTAGGGTTTAGGGTTTAGGGTTTTGGGTTTAGGGTTTTGGGTTTAGGGTTTTGGGTTTAGGGTTTAGGCTTTAAGGGTTGGAGGTTGGGTCCAGAGTTTTGGTTCGCGGTTCAGGCTTCTACTGCTGCTGCCGATGCCACAGGAGCGAACGGAAAGCCTTGATACTTGAGATGATTATTTTTTCATTATGGTTATTATGACAAGCTCTTAATTATTATTGTTATTCTTTTTTTTCTGGTCTGTGCCGTTAGGGTGCAGCTCAGCTGATTACGCTGCCACCAATGCGACTGAGCTGATCACACTCTGAGATTTCACAAGAACCGAAAGGCAACTTCAGATGTAGGGTTCAGAACATCGCAGGGATTAGGGTTCAGGGGTTTGGGATTTAAGGGTTTAGGGGTTTAGGGTTTAGGGTTTCAGGCTTAATTAGGGTTTAGGGCCAAACCCGACCCCAGCCCTAAACCCTCCCGAGGGCAGAGCGAGCAACCCTGTTCTCGGCATTTTCATATTTAGGGTTTAGGGTTTGGGGTTTGGTCCACTCATGTGCAAGGGCACCTGTCTGTTTCTCAACCCTAAACACTGAGCCGAAACCGAAACCCTCAAACCCTAAACCCTTAAAGGAACCCTTATAGATCCCTTCAAAGGACCGCTACGCCCTTAACCCTAAACCTGCTTAAACCCCAAACCCTCAGCCCCAAACCCTTACCCTTAGCATCAAAATAGCCCAAAATCCTTGTATAACAGGGTCCTTGGGCACACAAGCCTTAAAATATGAGTCCTTTGATGGTAAGGGATATAAACCCTAAACCCTAAAACCCTAAGCGCTAAACCCTTAATGTAGTACATTAAAGTGTCCAGGCTGGGAGTCCTCCATAGTTAACCGCCCATCTTCGTCGCTGTCGGCGTCATGGAAGACCTCCAGAAGCTTGTCCTGAGGGTTTAGGGTTTAGGGCTTTCGGGTTTGGGATTTTTTGATTTGGATGTTGTTGTTTGTTGTTTTGGTTCGGGGTGTCCTTACAGACGAGTTGAACCCTAAAAAGGATTAAGGTTCATGTACCATATAGGGTTTCATATTAAAAATATTCTTAAAGATTAAATGAACCCTGAAAGGGTCCAAGGCTCATATACCATATAGGGGTTCATACTGTTGATGATATAAACCCTGCATTACCTTATGGTATATTCCTTATTATGGGTAATGCAGGATTTGAAGCATCAACCGTAGTGTCAGGGTAGGGACTAGGGCTGCAACTCTTCAGTGTAGGGCCATGCCAAATTTAGGGGCCTTAATAATTAGAATAGGGTGTTGGGGGCTCCTTATTATACCTTTAGTATACTTGACCCCCAAACCCTAGTGCAATTATTAAAGCCCCTATAGTAGGGCCTATAGAGGTCAGCAGACCAGTGTTGGGTTTCTTGTGTGCCTCTCAGCTGCGAGGGGTTTAGAGGTTTAGGGTTTAGGGTCCAAGTGCCAATCTAATATATGCTTAGGCCCTCAACCCCTAAACCCTAAACCCTAAACCCCTAAACCCCTAGACCCCTAAACCCTTAAACCCCTAAACCCCTAAACCCCTAAACCCTAATCCCTAAACCCTACAAGTACCTTTTCAGGAACAACGTTTAAGCCAAAGCGCACACTACATGAGAACACGGATCCTTAGGCATCGTGGCTTTGCGGAAACTCGGGGCAGGGCATTTGAGGTGACCCACCATAGGGCCTTTCAATAGGGGTTTAGGGTTTAGGGGTCCTTGTTCCACTGCTACCACACAGGGGCTCTACATACTTATAATTGAGGGTCCGTGATTTTCCGGAAATCCCCGATAGCAGCCACGGACGAAATGTATGGATAGATGGATGGACAGATAGATGGCTAGATAGATAGATATGTGGCTGACCATTCAGGTCTCTCGATGGTCAGCCTGCATTTCACTGGTGGCTCATGAACATTGTTCAAGCTTATGCCATGCACACCAAAGCTCGGACTCTAAACCCTAAACCCTAAACCCTAAACCCTAACCTCTACACCCTTGGGCAAAATCTGGTGTAGGAGTTCAAGCGCGAGCCCGAAGCCAAACATATACCCAAACTCTACACCCCAGATCCTAAGGCCAAAGCCCTAAGCCCAAGATCCCAGGTACCCTAAACCCTAAACCCTAAACCCTAAACCCCTAAACCCTAAACCCTAAACCCTAAACCCTAAACCCTATAAACCCTCCCTTGCAACACCTCGGGGCTCCAGGCGACCTGACTCCCTCAACGCAAGCCTTAGGGTTTAAGCGGAACCCCAAAGGCCCAAAAAGTCCTGAACTGCTGTCAACCCTGAACCCTACACAAGCCTTATCTCCTCCACCCTGAAGCCCTAAAGATCTCAAAGCCTGAGACCCCTAGACCCTGATACCAAAGCCAAAGCATCGAAACGGCTTGCGTACTTAAAGGCCCCAAAACCCTAAACGCTAAACTAACCCTACAAAGGGACTTGAAAACCTCCTCATGTTCGAGGGCTGGAGCTCTGCCCACGAGAACTTAAGTAGTAAGGCAGCTGAGCTTTGACCTTTTTGGGGTGCTACAATGTAGGGGCCTTATAGTTAGAAAAGGGTTTTTGGGCCCAATATACTATAGTTATAATGAGGAACCCCAAAACAGTATTGGTAATTATTTAGGCCTCTACATTAACCCCTAGATACGCCGAAAGGTTGCTTAAAGTATCCCATTTGAAGGGCTTATAACTTATAACTCCATGTTGCCTCAGTTATATGCGTTTAGGGTTTATAGGTTTTAGGTACAAAGTCCCCCGAGCCCTGAAGTAATGTAGGGGCCTGAATAATTAGAATAGGGTTTTGGGGGTTCCATATTCTAGAGATAGTATACCCCCAAACCGCATTCTAATTATTGAGGTCCCTGTAGTAGCCCCTACACCCGTGCCGAAACCGATCAACAGCTCAGACTGCCACAGGTGGCTTTAGGGTTTAGGCTTAGGTCTCCGTAAAGGTTCCTTTGAGGGGTTCCATACGAAATGCTGTTGAACCCCAACTAAACCCTAAACCCTAA